GGGGGCAGCAATGTGGCTAAAGCAGAACATGAGGGGAAAAATAATAAAGACGAAGTGGGAGAAGGAGCCACATACCACTACCATATCATGAAGGGACTTCCACACTATGGTAAAAACCTTCTCACCCAAGTATGATGGGAAGCCATGGGGGAATTATGAGCAGAGACAAACACAGTCTGACTTATGTCTTAAATGGATCACTCCAGTTACTACGACAGAATACAGTGCCTGTATATGCATGTCTGGGTAGAATAGGAGCAGAGAGGCTGGCTGGAAGACTACTGAGATGTTCCAAACGAAAGATGCTGGCGGTCTGGACTAGATAAAGCTGAATGAAGAATGGAAGACTGAGCTGGTGAACACTGGGGGAAAATCAAGTTTGTGGGGGGTAATAGTAAGAGCTGAGTTTTGGGGGTGCCTGGGTTAAGTGTCTGCCTTCGGCTCAGGTCATGGTCCCAGGGTCCTGGGATCGAGCCCCACCATCGGGCTCCCTTCTCCGCAGGAAGCCTGCTTCTCCCTCTCCCTCTGTCCCTGCTTGTGTTCCCTCTCTCGCTGTCAAATAAATAAAATCTTTAAAAAAAAAAAAAGGAGCTGAGTTTTGGATATACCAGGTTTGAGTTACCTTAGTGGACATCCAGAACTGAGAGATGTTGAGTGAATAGTTAGATATATAAGGCTGGAGATATAAATCATAAAAATGGTATCTAAAAAGCCATGGGACTAAGGAGATAACCTAGGTGGTAAGCGTCCCTGCTCCTGCTCTCAAGTTGCTCTTTTTGAGGAGGGTGCAAAGTCAGTCTCTGCCACATGCCTCACACTCTCCTCAAACTATGGGACAGAAACTCCTCCTGCATTTGGCTTTAGGACTGTAGCTAGGTTTTTTTCTAAGCAAATAAACAAAATGAATTCCAATACTACTATATCCATTTTGAAATGTCTAAAGGTAAAAAATACAAACATCTAAAAATTTTACCAATGATCTCCACAGGAAATTTAGTGTCTCATTCAAAAATATTTTGAGTGAGGGCACCTGGGTGGCTCAGTTGGTTAAGCATCCGACTCTTGATTTTGGCTCAGGTCATGATCTCATGGTCATGGGATCAAGCCCTGCATGAGGCTCCATGTTCAGCGGGGAGTCTGCTTGAGATTCTCTCTCTTCTCTCTCTCCTCTACCCCTCTGTCCCTCCCCACCATGCCTGTGCACACACACACTCTCTCTCTGCTTCTCTAAAATAAATAAATAAATCTTTAAAAAAAAAACATTTTGAGTAGTGCTTAATTACGAATGACTTACAAATTAGGTTAAAGCTTGGATGGTCTAAAAACTTTTTATCCCATGGAAGTTTGGCAAAGAGGGTTATTATGTTTCATCATTGTGACAAAGAGTCCAGATCCTCACTTAAGAAAATTGTTTTCATTGGTGAATACCTGATTAAGCCAAGTCTCAAACCCAGTGGAGACAAATAGTTATACCACTAACCTCAAAATAATTTATATTGCATTATGCTGTGAAATGGCTACAGAAAAAGCAAATGCAGAGAAAGTCAAGGTCAAGGAAGAAAATAACTCCATTTAGTAATAATAATCAGCACAGAACATGGGGCGCCTGGGTGGCTCAGTCGGTTAAGCGTCTGCCTTCGGCTCAGGTCATGATCCCAGGGTCCTGGGATCGAGCCCCGCATCGGCGGGAAGCCTGCTTCTCCCTCTCCACTTCCCCTGCTTGTGTTCCCTCTCTCACTGTCTCTCTCTCTGACAAATAAATAAATAAAATCTTTAAAAATAAATAAATAAATAAGCACAGAACAGTTCATATCCGGAACACTGTCTTCACTTCTGGGTAACAAATCTGAAACCAGGTGATAAGAGGGAAAGCTGCAGAAATTAGGGACATTAAGCCTGATGAAAAGAAGGCTTAAAGGGAACATGACAGCAATCGTAAGTACAAAGGAGTTTAAAGATATATTAAACCTACATGTATCATTCCAGAGGCAGGTGTATAGAGTGAATGGAGAGAGGCTGACATAAGCTGATTCAAGCAAAACTTTTCCTGAAAACTAAATAAATCAGTTGTGTGGTATTCTAGAACAAACCATAGTATCACTTGCCAGAGACACTGTGGAAACAAGCCTTTCATTTGGATGAACTCAGTAGCTTTCAACACTGGCTGGACATCAGAGTCACTTGGCGAGCCTTTAAAAATTACCAAGGCCAGGGCTCTACCCCTTACCAGCTAAATTAGAATCCCTGGAGGTAGGACCCTGGCACCAACTGTTTTTCACATTTTCCTAGTGATTATTATGAGCAGTGCTATAGGTTGAATGCTTGTGTGCCCTATCCTCCAATAAATTCATATGTTGTAGACCTAAACCACAAGGTTATGGTATTTGGAGATGGAACCTATGGGAGGTAATTAGATTTAGATGAGGTCATGAAGACTGGACCCCCCACAATGGGATAAGTGTCAGAAGAAAAGGCAGACAGACCAGAGCTCATCTGCTCTCCCCCACCCCATGTGGGGACACAGCAGGAAGGTAGCTATCTACAAGCCAGGAAGAAGGTTCTCAGGAGAACCCAACCATTCTAGCACCCTGACTTTGGATTTCCAGTCTCTAGAAGGTATTTTGTTATGGCAGCTCAAGCTGACTAGCATAAGCAGCTGGACTAAATGATCTGAGAAATCTCTTTCAGCTCTAATGATGTATAATTCTATATAGTATTTGGTAATTCGCATGTCTAATTTCTAAAATTTCACACTAATAATGAAACTACTTCATGAAGACTTTGTTTTTTAAAAAGTCATTCTGAGAATTATAAATGTAGATCCAAACTTCTTGGATGTTTTAGTGTTTCAGGTTGCATTTTCAAAAAGATTTATTTACTTACTTATTTGACATGGGGGGAGGGCATATGTGAGCAGGGGGAGGGGCTGAGGGAGAGTGAGAAGCAGAGAAGCAGACTCCCCACTGAGAGCGGAGCTGCACATGAGGCTCGATCCCACGACCCATGAGATCATCATCTGAGTCGAAACCCAGAGTCTGACCCTCAACCAACTAAGCCACCCAGATACCCCTCAGGTTGCACTTGATTAGGAATCAGACAAAAGAGCTAATACAAAAGCAAAGTACCTAACTAAACCTTACAATAAGAATATCAAGTCTCGGGGCACCTGGGTGGCTCAGTCAGTTACACATCTTTTGGCTCAAGTCGTGATCTCAGGGTCCTGGGATCGAGCCCCACATCAGGATCTCTGCTCAATGGGGAACCTGCTTCTCCCTCTCCCTCTGCCACTTCCCCTACTTGTGCCCCCTCTGTCTCAAATAAATATTTTTAAAAATCTTAAAAAAAAAGAATATCAAGTTTCCATTGAACATGACTTCCTAAACGGTACCTCCATAACATAAACTAATGTTTTCTCCCTCTTGTAACATTTACTAAAAGCTCAGGGCCACAAAATCTATTCTTTTTTTTTTTTTAAGATTTTATTTATTTATCTGACAGAGATAGTGAGACAGAGAGCACAAGAAGGGAGAGTGGGAGAGGGAGAAGCAGGCTTCCCGTGGAGCAGGGAGCCCAATGCGGGGCCCTGGGATCATGACCTGAGCTGAAGGCAGATGCTTAATGGCTGAGCCACCCAGGCGCCCCCAGAGAATCTATTCTTTTCTCTTTACCACTACTGTTAACTAACACAACCCAGACATTTAATTACACTTGGATTCATGCAATAAATTCTTAATGGGTCGAGCAATATTCGATCTTCTCCTTCAATCATCCTGTCCTACTGCCAGAGTAATCTTTACAAAATGGACATCTCACCATGACATCCTTTTCCTTAAAGTCCTTCAACATTTATACAAGAGTGTGAATACACTTAACATTACTGAACAGTATACTTAAAAAATGGTTAAGATGGTGAGGCTCCTGGGTGGCTCCGTCAGTTTAAGCATCCGACTCTTGATTTCATCTCAGGTCATGATTTTAGGGTTGTGAGATCGAGCCCTGTGTTGGGCTCTGCACTGGGCAGGGGGCCTGCTTGAGAGTCTCTCTTTGCCCCTTCCCTGTCTACCTCCCCACTCTAAAAAAAATAAAATAAAATTTAAAAACGGTTAAGACGGTAACTTTTACGTTACGTGTTTTTTTTTTCTGTAATTAAAACACACACCCAGCATAGTGCCTGCTACATGGGGACGTAAAATCCTTCAGTGGCTTCCCATTATTTCCAGAAAGAAATTTAATTTTCCTAGTTGGATAAAAGGTTCATGACTTCATTGCCGCCTCTCTCGCCATCATTCTCACATGCACACTATGCTCTAACTGTAAAGAACCACTTGTGTTCCACAGTCCTTGTATCTGTGTTTCTAAATATGTCTAGAATACTATTCCCACCCCTTTACCCTTCTTCGCCTCCCTGAATAATTCTAATTCATCTTCTTTAATACTTAGCTCAGACTACCAGGAAGCTCTTCCAGGACACCCTGGCCGGGTCTGTGACTCCTTTCCACAGCCTCTCAGGATCCAATGTTTACTCTAACCGCAATGTGGTATGATAGTGCTTTACTGTTCTGCCTCTCTTATTGGACTCTGAGCTCTTTAAAGATAAGGTCTATGTCTTTCACCTCTGTATTTTCACCACTTGGCATAATGGTGGGCATCAAGGAGGTACTTAAAAAATATTTGTGAAATTAAATGAGATTATGGGTTGAAAAAAAGTAAATACAGAGAGAAGTGAAAAATAAGAAAGATGAAGCAGGGGCACCTGGATGGCTCAGGTGGTTAAGCATCTGCCTTCAGCTCAGGTCATGATCCCAGGGTCCTGGGATCGAGCCCCATATTGGGCTCCTGGCTCAGCGGGGAGCCTGCTTCTCCCTCTCCCTCTGCCTCTCCCCCTGCTCATGCTCTCTATCTCTGTATCTTAAATGAATAAATATAATCTTAAAAAGAAAAATGAAACAAACTAAGTGAAATCTTCCAGGATAAAACCAAAACTTAGATTTCCAACCTTTGCTTGGTGAGGTGAACACAGGAAGCAGCTACCAAAGTAGAAGACAATGAGTCAGCACTTGAAAGCACTCAAGTTCACCACCTAAAGAGCATGTGGGGTGTGGGGTAACTTACTGTGTGTGGATGAGCACGTGCTGCTTGAGGTCCTGCCTCCGCATAAACAACTTGTCACAGTAATCACACTTGAGATTCTTCTCGCCCGTGTGGATAACCATGTGCGACTCTAGGTGAGCCTTCTGGGTGAAAGACTTGTCACACAAAGTACATCTGTAGTTCTTCTGACCTGTACATTAACCCAAATTGCCACACTGTGAATAAAATAATCACTAGCATTCTCGAGATGAATAGACACAGGTATGGGTATGTGGCAGAGGCAGGAATGAAACAGAACTGATAACTGGAACATCAGCTTCTAGGGCTATTTACCTAGAACCAGTCAGAGAAAATGAATTTATAATCTGCAACAAAGGCCAGTGAAGCTAATAAATCTGACCTCCTTCCAGGACCACTTACCTAAATGTCTATACATATTTTTTTACTGTTTGTAGCTGACACATGATATGAAATCTGAAAAGACATTACTTATAATCCTAGCAACCAACCTAACCCCATTATGTTTAAAAGACCTCATGAATTGGGGAGCCTGGGTGGCTCAGTCATTAAGCATCTGCCTTCAGCTCAGGTCATGATCCCAGAGTCCTGGGATCAAGCCCTGCATCGGGCTCCCTGCTCCTCGGGAAGCCTGCTTCTCCCTCTCCCACTCCCCCTGCTTGTGTTCCCTCTCTCCCTGTGTCCCTGTCAAATAAATAAATAAAATCTTAAAAAAAAAAAAAAAACACCTCATGAATATGTATATGCATCTGTATATAGACAAACATACTTTTACAACTTAAATTTATAGTTTTCTTTTTTAAACATATGACCTCATAAACCAGGGGTGAAATAGAATCGTTCTAAGAATGCAGAAATAAGATTACTCTAAGTCAGGGATTGGCCAACCTTCTGTAAAGTCTAGTCTGTATCTGGAGTTTTGTGGGCCATTTATTCTCCTTTTTGACTTTTCTGTCTTTTTTTTTTTTTTTTTTTTAAGATTTTATTTATTTAGGGCGCCTGGGTGGCTCAGTCGGTTAAGCGTCTGCCTTCAGCTCAGGTTATGTCTTTGGCCAAGCCAAAGGCAGTGGCCTAACCGACTGAGCCACCCAGGCGCCCCATGTAGTATGTATTTAAAAAATATGTGCTAGGGGCGCCTGGGTGGCTCAGTTGTTAGCGTCTGGCTTCGGCTCAGGTCATGATCCCAGGGTCCTGGGATCGAGCCCCGCATCAGGCTCCCTGCTCCGCGGGAAGCCTGCTTCTCCCTCTCCCACTCCCCCTGCTTGTGTTCCCTCTCTCGCTGTGTCTCTGTCAAATAAATAAAATCTTTTAAAAAATTAAAAATACGTGCTAAAAGAAAGGGGTTGGCTTGTACGGAGTTTAGTAAATGGAAACTCAAAAAACCAAAATTTGACAGGACTAACTGGGCAATATTCATAGGAAGAAAACTGGCTCTGGCCAGTGACTAGAAATGAGAGGCTCAGAGTGTTTCTATAGAATTCCCTTTGCTTTCAGTCCTAACACAGGCATCAACTTCCAGATGAAGTCCATTTTCCCAGTCACCTTCAAACTATGGTTGGGGCATTTGGAATGTGAAACATTGTAATAACAGGAGCTAACACTCTCTGAGGAAGCGCAATTATCCCACCAAGATTTATCACCCAATGAAGTCCTGCTGTCAGCCAGACTTTCACATCTTAACTCCACCTACAAGACCAGCCAGCTGCAATTGACTACTGCAGTTTCTAATTGTTGTGAAATTCCATTTTGATGGTCCAATACAACTTACCTGTATGTATCTTGAGGTGGGTCCGTAGGTTGCTGGGATCACTAAAAGCCTTGCTACAGAAATCACACTTGTGGGGCTTCATACCCATGTGACCCATAAAGTGGACATGAAGTTTGGAAGGAGAGATAAAAGCCTGGGGGCACATTGAGCACTTCCACTTCCTTTCTTTGCTGTGGCTTGGCCCATGGCTGCTGCTGTGGCCCTGGCTATGAAGATGGTTATGGATGTGGCTGGTAAGGTGAGCTTTGAACTCTGTATAGGAATTGCACTCCTTGCCACAGTTACAGAGGTGCACATCTGGGTGTTCGGGAACACCTTCAAAAAAAAAATTACTCAATGTCTCCTCGTACTTAAATTTTAAAAATTCATTCTTGATATTAATGTTGCTTACAATTCTCCATTCTACCAAAATTTCCATCTTGCCCACTCCCTGTAAAACTAAAATGTCTTGTTTAATACTCTATTCCCAGCATCTCACATAGTGTGCCAGGCACAAAGGAAGCATTTGTAAATACTGGATTTTAATACATCTTTCCTAACCAAAAAACTTTTGTTAAAAAAGTGTAGTATAAACTCTTAAACATCGCTTGTCATCATGACACAGTGCAAAGAAAAAGACTATGAAGTTTAAATCAATTAAAGGATCTTTCCTTTTTTTTATGAACTTAAATTACAATGATACTGGCTCAAAAAAGCAGCCTCAGGAACTTCAAATACCCCAAATCAAAATCTTAACGCAGAAGTTCCTTTCATAAGAATACTGCTTGATCGATAACATTCAGCTTGTGAAGAACCTCACAGATTCTAACACTTCTAACATAGGCGTTAATACCCTGCTTTTATATATACAAATGTATGTGATTTGCTTCAGCTAACATATAAATCATTACCAAAACTACTTCTGGTCCTTGGTGTTTTTACTATGCTAGATTCAGGAGAAACAAGTCTTACAGTAACTTACCAATCTGCTGAGCATAATCCCGGCTATAATAAAAAAGCAGTTCATTTTCAGGAGGGATATCTTGTGAGGTGCAGAAATAGATTTTTCCATCATGGGGATAAGCCACCAAATTCTGCTCTTCCCGGTTCCTAAGTTATCACATTTAATAGATCAAGCATATTAATTTTGAAATATATACTAAACATATCCTATCCCTAAGCAAAATTCTACATGAAAACTTAGAACTATTTTCTTTGGGTCATTTTTCTAATTCCCTATCCTATTAGGAGGGACATAGAAAGAGAATTCTTTCTGTACATCAGCTGATTGCCCTTTATAGTCAGAAACACTAGAGAGTTTATCACAGGAAGTAAGAAAATTAAATAAAATTAAGTTTTAAAAAAGCAATAGGACAAAGACACAGAGATAGACAGCTGAATAAGAATTAACTACAACAACAGCCTGAGGGTTGACTAACAGCGGATATAAAGAGCAGGTACCCACTTGCAAATTCAATAACTGTACCATTCCTTATTGTGCTGGTAGGTTGAATAAAGTTATTTATTTAAAAAAAGGATATAGCTTCTTCTCTTTTGATTTATAATCACCTAATTAGTCAACAACTACTAGAGTGAAGAAGGTAAAAAGCCTTAGGCCTCAACATATGTTTAGACATCAGTATAATCCGGAATTTTTAGCTCTTCCCTATTTTATGCAAAGCTTCCTATTGAAAAACATCCAAATCTTAACTATGTCTTCACCCAAGACTACTCTTACCTGGCTTTGCGCACAAACATCATCCAATTACATTCATTTTCATCAGTTGTAATGATGCAGAATTCTAGGACACCATTGTGGTATATCTGTCAACAGAAGGCAAACATACATGTCAAATGAACAGACAGGCAATACAAAGTGCTACTGAATTTAGGCTAACCAACAGTCTCCTTTACTCTGCAGTAGGCCTCTGCTTCCCTAGTCAGCGTGGAACTCCACAGTTGCCTTCTCACACTTTTGTCATTTCGCCCAGGCCCATTTCCAGCAATGTAATAAAGACTACTGGAGACAGACAGTTAGTGCTCAAGGTATAGAATGACCTTGCTCTTCATTATTCACATTTTGGCTTGACTGGAAAAAACAAACAAAAACCTACCACATGGTGACAAGGAGTGACTACACAGACATTAAGGTCACAGAACCATCTCTTCTCAGTCTTTTTCCAATGGACCTAGCGTTCTTCTGTATTCTTTTTGGATACCAAAATGCATGTCCTCAATGCTGGCAGCACCTTACCTTTCCAATGTTCACAAGACCCACTTTCCTCTCACTTCAATTTTGCAGGCATCATTCCCAATCTATTGACTACAGTGAATCTATATAAACATGTTAAAGGAATAGCTGTTTATGACAAAACCTTGCATTTCCAGGATTCCCATTAGAAAACGAGAGAAATGATCCGGGGTTCCTGGGTGGCTCAGTCAGTCAAGCGTCTGCTTTTGGCTAAGGTCATGATCCCAGGGTCCTGGGACTGAGCCCCGCATCCGGCTCCCTGCTCAGCGGGGAGTCTGCTTCTCCCTCTCCTTCTGCCTCGCCCCCTGCTTATGCTTACTTGCTCTTTCTCTCTCAAAAATAAATAAAATCTTAAAAAAAGAAAAAAAAGAAAAAAGAAAACTAGAGAAATGATCTTAGCTTCCAATCCCAGAACTGTTTCCCAAGCTAACTATTTGAAGAATGTTTTGGTTGATTACAAAATAAGACTTTCATCATATAAACAAAGTCCATGTATGTCCTCAGCTGCCTCAAGTAATTTAAATGAAGAATCACTGGATTATCTAACAAAAGGAAGACTAAAAACAGTTTATTTTCTAAATTCCATAGCTGGTGTTTTGCTAAATATTATAATTTGGCTACAAAGAACAGAAAGGATGAAATATTAAATAAATGACAGGTGAATGGCACCATACGAGTCTTGGCCAATTTTGTTTTACATCACTTTTAACTACCTCACTATAGTAAAAACATTCGGAAGCCACAGAAAAGCTTCATGAACACTGACCTTCCATATATGGTTGACTGCCTTGTCTGTCCATTCTGCTACTTCCATGGAATGGCTCTGTTGGCCAATGAGAGGCCCAAAGCAAGTCCGCACAGGAATGGTTTCTCCAGTCCACACACCTGTCAGTGAAAAGATATTAACTGCCCAATCAATGGTTTAAGCATCTAACAGGATACACAAGAGAGAGTGGCTTAGCTTCAGTGAACCTAAGAACTACGGATATTCCAGCACTCCTGTGAGGTAGCTAAGTATTTTGTGTTCTATCCTATAAATATGAAAAATGTAATGAGATTAAATGGGGCTCAGAAGAAACATGCAGAACAAGCAGCATCAGAAATCCCTAAACCTGGTCTTATACATAAGGAACCAAACCAAGTCCCTCCAAGTGTTATTTTGGAATACATAAAAAAGACTAGAGAACATTACCCAATTATAAAAATATAAAGCAATTACTACAAGATAAATCAAACTTAAAAAACCATCTGTGCTTAAAGCACTGCTCCATATTATCGAAGCTGTTTTAACGTTTTCAACTGACTCATACCCAAACTACAGCTGAAAAAATAATGAACCTAGATTGATATTTTCAAAGAAATGGCACAGTAATTCAGAAACCATTTTAAATCCAAATATGGGTAACCAAACTCTGGCAGTCTTTATTTCTTATTCCTTTTTCCTAAGGAGTATTAAACAATTTATGAACATTCGATGTAACTATCTTTTGTGACAAAAGTTTATCAGTGATGAATTTTCCATGTTTTATAAAAGAAATTTAAGTTTCAAGAAATGCTTTGTCATCATCGTTAGAGAATGATACAGCCAAGAATAAAAGTCTTCAGACTCAGGCCACGATTCTTTCCTTTATACAATTCTGATTCTAAGAAAGGGGAACTTTCTCAAGAAAGTTTCAACTTGATTTATTGCTATCACTGGACAAATGTTCCTAGAAGGATAAATCTTAAGCTGTAAATTGACTTCTGAATCAACCAAATAATGACTATATTATACATATCCACTTTTACAACTCTATCCTACAAAGGAAGAGAACTGACAGGCTTTTATGGTTCCAAGGTTCTTACCAACTTCTGCTCCCACAACTGACTGGCGGAGAACAAGCTGCTTTGGGAGAGAAAGCCTCGCTCTGCTCTCTATTGGAGTGTCAGGAACAAAAGTCACTGGTCCGTGATCGGGGCAGTCTGAGGGATAGGCTCGGTCACAGAGAGTGCACCCTATGGATAGGAAATTTGAGAGAAACAAATGGGGTTAGTTCAAGCAGCCTGAAGTACCACCTGCTTTCTTATTTAAATGCTAATTACTAAAGTATAACCAGTAAGAAGCAAAATTCTAGTAAAAAAGACGCCTGGGTGGCTCAGTTGGTTAAGCGTCTGCATTAAGCTCAGGTCATGATCCTGCCCCACATGGGGCTCCGTGCTCAGCCGGGAGTCTGCCCCTCCCTCTCCCTCTGCTCCTCCCCCTGCTTATTCTCTCTCAAATAAATAAATAAAATCTTTAAAAAAATACTCTGATCAAAGAATCACTTTTTTTTTTTTATAGATTTTATTTATTCATTTGAGACACAGAGACACACAGAGAGAGAGAAAGCATGAGCAGGGGGAGAGGCAGAAGGAGAGGGAGAAGCAGGCTCCCCGCTGAGCCAGGAGTCCGATGTGGGGATAGATCCCAAGACCCTGGGATCATGACCTAAGCCGAAAGCAGACGCTTAACCATCTGAGCCACCCAGGCGCCCCAAAGAATCACTTTCTTACACTAAGATACATATCCCACTCTGACATCTCTCTCCAGTAAGATCTGATTTTTTTTTTTTTTTTTTATCTCACAGGACAATTTTACTATTCAGTCCATAGACACTGACCAAAAAGCAACACTAAATTAATTCAAGAATAAAGTACATTGTTTCCTAAAGTAAATACATAATACCTTTAGATATTATATCTAAAGTCCCAAGATTCCAATTCTACCAAACTGTATGAGGAAACGGGAGTTGAAATGCCATCACGCAAAGCCAAAACAGAGATGACAATATAGTTCAACAGAGGCAGAGACAGCTGCACTACTGTTCGCTTTTGCTTCACTATAAACAAACCGGTCACCCAGGTTTTGATGAGATTCTTAAGACAAAAAAAATTTGGCAAAAAAGTGCTCTTAGGGACAATAGGTAGAATCATGTGCTTGCAGACACGTTTGCTTAAAATTCTTAATTTCTTACTGTTCATATGTTCTTTCTGCATTGTCAGAAAGGGTGCTGCCTTTATATACTGCTCTCTGTGGTTACTGTAACTTCACTTTTACAAGCTCATGAGTGTCGTTCTCATAAATCTTGTGCTCTATTTCTGTTAAGGAATAGTACACATGACTATCAGTCAATGATTATGCTCAAACCTTCCAAATTCGTCCTCAAAATAGTTGGGAGTACATCAACTGCAGAACCACAGCCATCTAAGTGGTTTTTTTCCCTAAGCAATCATTAAACATTTCTCCTTAAATGACATAAAATAGCAGTTAAGTTTTCGTATTTAGGCAAAGCAGAAATATCTTACTTCAACTACTACTTGACTAAAAATTCTTTGAAGATCAGATTAGAGATCCCCTACACTTGGTGAGAACTCATTCTCCAATGCTTTTTTTTTTTAATTTTATTTATTTATCTGAGAGAGAGAATAGGAGACAGAGAGCATGAGAGGGGGAGGGTCAGAGGGAGAAGAAGACTCCCCGCTGAGCAGGGAACTCGATGTGGGACTCGATCCCGGGACTCCAGAATCATGACCTGAGCCGAAGGCAGTTGCTTAACCAACTGAGCCACCCAGGCGCCCAATTCTCCAATGCTCTTAATAACAAACCATGCTAAATCTCCAAAGGAGATTCAGATTCCATACTGCCAAAAATGCTTAGAGGTTTCTCCGAAAATACACAAATGGCCAATGAGAACATGTAGAGGTTCAACATCCTTGTCACCTGGGAAATGCAAATCTAAACCACCATGAGATGCTACTTCACACCCACTCCATAGCCGGTAAGACGGCTATAATAGAAAGTGTTCGGAAGATGTGGAGAAACTGGAACACTCACACACTGATGCTGGGAATTCAAAATGATGCAACCACTTCAGAAAAGCAGTTCCTCAAGAAGTTAAACACAGGAGCAATTCCACTCCGAAATATATATCCAAGAGACTTAAAAACATGTTCACACAAAAACTTGTACATGAATGTTCATAGCGGCATTATTCCTAATAGCCAACAGGAGAAACAACCAAATGTTCATGAATGAAAGGTGGATAAACAAAATGTGGTACAGCCATACACAGGGTACTATTCAATCCTAAAGAGGAATGAAGTACTAACACCTGCTACAACATGAATGAGCCAGGACAACATTATGCTAAGGTAAAGAAGACACAGAAAGCCACATGTGGTATGCTTCCATTATATGAAGTGTCCAGAATAGGTGAATCTATAGAAAGTAGATTAGGGTTACCTGAGGATGGTTGTGGGGAGGGAGGGGGTTAGAAGGGCGGGAATGATGAGAGACTGCTAGTGGGGTATCTTTATGGGGTGATAAAAACATTTTGGAGTTAGATAGTGGTGCTGCTTGCAACAACCTTGTCAATATACTAAAAACTCCTAAATTGTGCACTTTAAAATGTATATGTGAATTATGTTTCATTTTTTAAATTTTTTTTTAAGATTTTATTTATTTGAGAGAAACAGAGAGAAAGAGCATGAGCAGAGAGAGGGAGAAGCAGACTCCCCGCTGAGCAGGGAGCCCAATGCAGGACTCGATCCCAGGACCCTGAGATCATGACCTGAGCTGAAGGCAGACGTTTAACCAACTGAGCCACTGAGGCACCCCAACATATCTCATTTTTTAAAAAACACACATAGGAGCAAGAGGTTCCACATGCCCACTTAAAATAGGATCAACAGACTTTAGGCCACCTCTTCTGCTAAGTTAATGAGGCTACATTAATCACATTCCTAAATTAAAATATTTTAAAATTTTAACTTTCAGATTTCAAAAGATTAACATAAAAGTTCTCCTCACTGCTTGGCTTCTGAGGCACCAGAAGCTCTGTCCTACTTTTCTGACCCTCCTGTTCAGTCTACTTTGGAAGCTCTTCCGCTACTACTGTGTCTTAGCATCCCTAGCCTCTTACATTCCACTCTCACTAGGAGATAATTTCACCCCACTTCCATGGCTATGATTAATGTTTTAATGCTCAGGATCCCTGAATATTTGCAGACAGATCTCTGTGCTCCAGATTAAAATTCTCATTAAACATCTCTCCTGGGTATTTTTTTTTTTTCCTCCTGGGTATTTTATAGACACTGAAATCAACATGTCTGAAACCAGACTCACCATCACTCCTCAAAAACAAACAAACGGCAGTCCTCCTCCACCATTCATTATCCGAAAGTGGTACCACTATCCACCTAGTTTCCCATGCCAGAAACCAAGGATATCTCCTTAACCCTTCCCTTCCCCAACTTCAACCCACTGGCAAGCTCTACTAAGTTCTCTGTAAATATTCCCCACTTTCCTCATCATCATTACCTCTACTCTAGGTTAGAAAATCACCTTCCACTTAAATTATGGCATCTACTTGCCTCACACTGCAAAGAGCCCCATCCCAAACCTCACTCCTTAAGACCCTTGACTGGTCTTAGAAGACCCTCTGTGTTCTGGCTCCTACTTCTTTCTCATCACCCCCATATTATACTTCAGCAATTCTGAACCACACAAAATTCTTTTAGTTCTAGGCACTTACAGGTGCCAACTCCTGTCTGGGACCCTGTTCTTCCTGATACTCAGCTGACAACATCTTTTTTGTCCTTCAGGTCTGTGCTAACATATGCACTGCCTCCCCTGGTAAGTCTTCCCATATTCCTTCCATGGTCTGGTTAGATGCTCCCCCTCAGGCTCTTTTAGACTTTGCACTTAATCCCATCTTCCCACTTATCATACTATATTGCAACAGCTTGTTTACATGCCTATGCTTCCCATCAGACTATAAGCTCTTTAAAGGCATGTGTCCTCTCCTGCAGACTATTTTCTACCCTGCATCTAGCACAGAGGCTGGCACAGAGTAGGCACTCAACACGTTGCTTGAATGAAGCATGTAGTGACACCAACAAATCAACAGTTTTTATATTGCTTTTTGTTATTGTTGCCCCATAAAAAGAACTTTTACATGCCCAACTACAGTAATTTACATGCATTCTGAGCAAAAATAAAAACTGCATTTGTATCTTCCTACATTTTTCCACTGGGATAAAAAAATACACATGATCTAATAAATCTGTCTTATGTTGAAAAAGCACATGGCATGACACACAGAACACCTCACTGAAGTTTACTTCTATAATGACTCTATCTCTGAAACCCAGGGAAATATCTCGAATACCATTGGGCTGACCTTATGTGTAAAACACAGAAAGAAACGACTACAGTTTCCTTACTTCAGAACCCTGTAAGAACCAACAAAATGTCCGTATGTCATCTGGCTTACTTGAGGAAAAGGCACATTAGCATGAAGGACAACACACAAAGAAAAATCCCACAGCCTAGTTTCTGTCTGTACTCCCTTAACGCCGGACTTCGTGACTATATCTGTTAGAGATGGTGGCCCTAGCTAGCAATACTCCCAACAGAAAAAGGCTGGGCACACTCACAAACGGTGAACAAGGCCGCCATGTTTTCCTTGTTTGAATCGGAGTCTTCCATTTGCAGTGCAGGCGGCACAAAAGAAAGGCTGTCCGAAGACACATCTACATGACCTGTCCCCAGAGCGACCTCCTGGGTGATAGAGGAGACAGCCACAGGCTCTAGGCTTAGGCCAACTTCATGGAGGGAAACAGATTCTAGGGAGGCGAGGTTGTGTGAGGTAGAGAGTGCCACGCTTACGGAGTTGGTGCTCATGGCCACGGGGTGAATGGAGTCACTGAGGGCACTGTCAGACATCCCGTTGACCCGACTTGCAATGTGGTCTGTCTCCATGACCACAGGGAGCTCCAGGCCATTCCCGTGAATGGGTATCACACCACCATGTCCTACAGTGTCTGCTGCAAGGTTGTTGCTCACAGAATCCACAGACAGAGGTTCATGACTTCTGGAGCCATTTGGGATTTGGGAATGCTCGCCTGCAACACCGTCCATTGTAAGTTCTTCTGCCATTCCATCTGTAGAGATTGGGCTGGCAACCCTAGAGACGTTCTCCATAGTGATTGTTGTGTCCAAGGCCACCTCATGGCCATCACTGGGGTGAAGACTTTGGGCACCATGGGTGTTCACAGAGCGAGAGTCTATTGAAACAATGCCTGGTTCTAATCCAACATTTCCACTGGACTGATAGGGATCTAGAGCTGAAGCGTTATTGGCAATAGATAATGCCGTATTACCATCAACATTTAGAGAGTTAGGGTGGATATACTGAGGAGGTGGTCTGTCAGCTAAATAAGATAAAATGCCTGAGAAAAGGAAAAGATGAGATATCAAAGACTTTTTAGTACATCGTTAAATATAAGGAATTCCAAAGGCTAGAAACTATATTCCTTACAAATATAACTAAATTAATCTCTTACCTACTTCTTTGGTTTAACTGATATATATACTTTATAAAAATAGCAACATAAGTAGACCATAAAATAATCTTCTACCTCCTTATTTGGTTAAATTGATATATATACTTTATAAATAGCAACACACATATACCATAATTCAGTTTTCCCTGTGAAACTGAGAAACTGTAAAAGAGTAGCTATGTTCCTTTGAAGTCACTGGAAATTAAGCATTTAAATGATATTAATATATACATAGTTGGAATTCCTGAGACCCAAGATGCTGAAATTTGTTCTATAAAAGTTAAAAGGTAAAATGATTTAAATGTAGATCTTCCACATGAAAAATTTAATTAAGAAAATTTAAATATAACTAAGTTTTAATCATTAAACTGTCACAGCACATTAGGTTGTATTCAAAACCAAAGTCACAACTGAATCTGCTTTATTAAGAAATATTTGAATACACATGCTTATAAGGATGTGCTGAAATGGCACTTGCTGCATTGCCAGTGGGAGTGTAAATTACTAAAACTTCTTTGGAAAGTATATACACTAAGAACCCCAAAAATATTCATATGCTCTTGCACAAGAAATTCCACTTAGGATAATCTTCCCTAAATGCATTTTACAGATATTATACACAAAGTCATTCCTGTAACAGTAACAAGAACCTAGAAAAACCAAACTGTCCAACAATAAAGATTGATATATAAATAAACCATGGAATATTCATTCAGTACACTGTAATACAGCATTAAAAAGAATAATTATGAACACCATGCAGCAGTTACAGAAAATAACTACTTAAAAATACAGAAAAATACAAAGCAGAAAAAAGTGAAGATACACAATCATATAGACAGTATAGTCTTAATTATGAAAAATAGTAAAAATTCTATACACCAAGATAAAAGGCAGGAAGGAAGTACACCAAAAAGATGGATGATGGGACTATGAGTGGTTCTCCTATTTGCTAAATTTTGTAAAATAAATACACACTTAGAATAAAAAAATCATTAAACTTAAAAAAAAAACCTTTAATTTATAGTAAACAATGACACTAGCAGGACATGTGGTTGACAAGAATTACAACTACAGAATTATAAAAATTGAACCAAGGAAATACTGGAGGAAAAAGGAGAAAAACTGTTTATGTGCCATTAAGAAATTAAACCTAATCAAACTGCTATATTAATAGTGTTATCTGTACATTCTAAAAGGAAAGGTACAAAAATATATATATATTTTTCCCACCTAAAGATTAAGATCCAAAACTGACAAACAGAAAAAAGTGTTATTCAAGTTTTCAAGTAGGGAGGTTAAGAGGAGGCTCTATTCTTTCTTCTAATGTCCCAAATAACCATAATACTTACCAGGTAGAATGGTTCTGAAGTAACTGCTCTCCAGGTGGGGGTAAGGTGGTGGAGGTAGGGTGTAGTTTCTTTCGGGCAACCCGCACATCACCCCTCGATCCCCAATACCCATTGGGAGCATCAGAGACAAAGCAGAAGGCAAAGAGCTCAGGGAGGGACCCAGGTTTGGAATTGCCACTGGCAGGCCTACAAAAAAATGGTTTTTTTTCCTCAATTAAAAGAAAGTAAGTACTTAAAAACTCTCACTATAATCACTAGCTAAGCTCTTAGGAAGGTTTCTGCATATGGGGAAAAAAAAAATCTCACCTAATAGCCCTTTATATCCCCAGACAGATAGTATTGTGCAGATATTCACAAGTATGTCTTAAAGGTAGTTCTCAAGTTAGTTTTAAAATGGTCAAGTTGATCTTCCAGTTGTCTGTATTGCTTTTAAGTATCAAAACATTTAATTACAATTAAAAACCTAGTTTAAATACAATTTAAGAGAACAAATCACATAGAGATAAAGTGGGAAAAAACACCAAAGTTCACAGGAGTGGTCTCTGAGTAATGATATTATGAATTTTTTTTTACTTTTTTATTTATATTTCCCATTTTAAATGGTGAGAATGTTTTACTTTTTAAAAATTCATAAATATGCTTATACTTGGAAGTTAAATGTATATGTGCTGTGTTTTTGTGTATGTGCTATATTTCGTGATTTAAAAAATTTAAGCTTTAGATTATATCTACCTTGGATTATACCTGCAAGGTGTAGAAGTGACTCTTACATGCCTAAGTATAACAATGAATACTAACTTGAGCAGTGCTGATTTGCATTATTTTTGCCAGTGGCAATATTTTTTAATACGCTTTTCCCCCATAACAAGAGTGTTCATTAAAAGGAATGCCTAAGAGATAATCAAATGAGTTAACTACTAATAAAATTTTTTTTAATTTCTTTTGTGGACACTGAAAGGAATGTGGAGACCCTAGTTTAGATGAATTTATTTAGCTGCTGCATTTTAGTAATTAAGCAGGTAGTTCCCTACAGAGAACTATTTAAACAACTTAAAGATTTAAATCTTAAACTTTAAATCTTATTGTTAAGTAATCTCTACATCCAACATGGGGCTCAAACTTACAACCCTGAGATCAAGAGTCACATGCTCCACTGAATGAACCAGCCAAATGTCAGCATTAACTCTAATTTTGATAAAGAAAGCCCAATACATTACAATGTCATAGATCATTAAGAATCAATAGCTTGTCTCTATTTCGAAAGAAAAAGAAAAGAAAGCAAATAAAAAGGTTTTACAAGTACAGTGATGGGGGAAAATGAGCTTTTTCTATAGTATTCCTGAGTACTGAGCCTCATGGGAGTCCCATATAGGAGCTCCATCTTTGGTGCCTTCTCTTTGAATTCTAAGCTTGGTGCATTTGCAGCTGTTGCCAGTTTCAGATATAATAAAAAAAAAATAAAGCTCAATTGCTCTTATTTTCTGGAACAGTTAGAATAACTTTCATTCTCTTCTATTAACCCAGGGACAGAGTACCAAGGGTATGAACCAGATGAATGGATAAACCTAGATAAAATGCCAAGTCAACTACATCTCTAAAGGCCACCAAGCCCACAGGAGGACTAATCAGAAAAAACTGCTACTCCTCTCCACTAGTACTCCAGTGGTCCACAAAAACATTTCTTCCATGAGGCTGACACACGTGGAACTGCAGTTCAGTCCTGCTTGGCTTCTCCTTTACACTCTTTCTCCCTTTAGACTCCACTGAGAATTGATCATGCAATTAAGTGTTGAAATTCAGTCGCTATCCCTTACTACTGACCTGGGGCAGGAATGGCATTGTGAGTGGGTGAAGCAGCCAACCCTAGATGACTCCCTGAGACTGGCAAGGCATTGCTCACAGAGGATGAAGTCAGCTGCTCCATCCCCACTGGGCTCAGGTTCATTTCATTCATCCTAAGAAAGAGCACACACAACCAATTAGGAAAAATCTCACGTTAGTGATTCCATTTAAGTTACTGAAGAACCTGAAACAATGGGGGTAGGGAAATGGGAGCTGATCAACTACTACTTCATTTTTATGCTCACAGCTCTCTGAGACAGAGTGTCCTATTCTTTCTACTGATAAGGAAACTGGGATTCAGAGACATTAACTCAGTCAATGTCACAAAGCAGAAATAGGATTTAACTCAGGTGCACTTTGTTCCAAACCTTATGCACACTGCCTGAAGCAAACTGCAATCCTTAGAGCACATGGCAATAAGAGTTTGTTTTTTAACCATCCAAGTTTTCTCTTTCACAGTATTTTCTTCAAATGGCCTATTACTTCAAACCAGACTTCTGTAGAGTTTCACTCAAAAGCATTTTTACTAATTTTTTTACTAAGACTTACAGTGATACTGGGTCTGAATTAGATTATTAACGGTGTGAAGAAGCACCGTATTTCCTCCATGGGTTAAATTTTATTAAAACTCTGTATAAAAATCTTAATAATATCTGCCATATAGCAAGGTTCATTATGTAAGCTTTGATACATACTTTATAAAAATTTATTTCACATTGTCTCACCAATTCTTCAAAATAAAGTAAATGAGGAAACCAGGTCAAAGAGGACATGTCATATGCCCCAAATCCCAGCAATTAAGTAGAAGAGCACCGATCATGCTGCAAAACACTGCCAAAAAGTTTCTCGATACAGCAAACCTTTTTTTTTTCTTTTCAAATCTACAGACCATTTTTGTCAGGCCAAAAAATCTGAGAATCACCTTTTCTATGCAATCTATCTTTCATTATCATTAACAATCTTATCGCAATACACTAGTTTGAACAAGATGCCTGCTATTGGAGGCTATCAATAACTATTAGTTCCTATATCAGAATTTAGAGACTGCCATATTATAAGCATTATAATTTCAAGAGACTAGCCAACATGTTATCCAAATGTTACTAAAGACCTCCAATCCCAGGGCACCTGGGTGGCTCAGTCCTTTAAGTGTCTGCCTTCAGCTCAGGTCATGATCTCAGGGTCCTGC